CTGTAAATAAACTGCACTTGGGTTCTTCACTACACTCGCCTTCAGTGGACTGATTCGTTACACATTTAAATTCATGAGTGCCTGGTGAAGAGGGAGAAAAGATGAGTAGCCTTTATAGTTATATATACAATACTCATTTTCTGAAAGAAACACTTGTTCAAATTATATTTTAAATGATCATTAGGCCTATTGCCGCTTGCCCACTTCAGACATTAGGCCTAATGTGCATTTTTTCTTCTTCAAATTATAGCTAAATGGTTTGCAGTGATTCTTTTTAAATCTAGATTAAATCAAGGTTTATCTAATAATTCTGTTGCACCAAACTTTAAACCTTTAAAAATAAGCAGGTTTACATTTTAACCCATCATTTTGATCCTGGATTTAAGTTATATTTAAGATTAACATTAATCCTGTTGCACCATAACTTTAAACTCAGATTTAAATCTCGATTATGGATTAACTTTAAACTTAATGGAGGTTTAAATAAAATAAAATGCACATGCAAATAAAATATGTAGGCTAACTGATCGAACAAAAACAGTGGAGATCTGACAAAAACTGTGTTTATTACAACAACAACAAAAAAAATTAAAGCACATCGAGCGGGATGCCCGGGATGCGGATCCGTCACTCTTGGTGCACCTCGGTGTCGGACAAACAGAAGAAGTGAGGAATATTTAACAGCAGCGGTCACAGTGATGATGAGGCGAGCACCAGTGATCGCGGCCGTGCCTCTCGTTTTTATGCCCGCTCCGTGTGTCTGCTGGGCGGCGATCAAATGGGCAGGGCAGCGCTTTTCACGGGCGGAGATCGCTACTAGACGAATCATGTAATTTTTTTTTTTTCTTTCTCTTATCTCGGCTCTTTTGTCGTAAGTTATGTTATTACTCCATTAATGTATACTAGCCTATATATCCAGCGCTCCCTGAACGCAGTCTCTGGCTTATTGCCAGTCAAGCGCAAGCACGCTGCAGGGACGCGTCTATAATGACTTTGATCTGATCATAAAGTCTTTCCGAGTCACAGGGCTCAAGTCCAAGTCAAGTCTCGAGTCATTGCTGTCAAAGTCTAAGTTGAGTCTCAAGTCTTCTTTAATTATGTCGAGTCGAGTCGCAAGTCATCAAATTTGGGACTCGAGTCTGAGTCAAGTCTCGAGTCATGTGACTCGAGTCCACACCCCTGCAAGAAGAGTCCTTCAGCTGAATGTCACCGGCTGCAGCAGTCACTTTCTAAAAGAGATTTGACTGCTTCATTAATGAACAACTGAAGTACTGCCAGGGTTATTTTAGTAATATTTACAAATACATATTTTTATACATATATTCATTTTATAGTATTTCTTAAAATTTTTAATTCGCTTCTTTTTTTTTTTTACATTTAAATTGTTTACATTTTCATTTTCATTTTAGTTTAAGTTTTAGTAATTTTACATTTATGCATTTAGCACATGCTTTTATCCAGAGCGACTTACAAAAGAGGAACAAAAGCAATTCATGAAAGAGCTGACAGTATTCATAATATACAATACCAAGTTTATCACATTTTGTTATCTGCTTTTCTCATTTTTATAAGGTTTTATATTTATATTTGTTTTTACTTTATTTAAAGGGGTGGTTCACTGGTTTTTTTCTAGGCTTGATTGTGTTTATGGGGTGCAGTCTAACGTGTTAATGATTCGTTTTTTAAAAAACGCGTTATTTTTCACATAATTTACCTTTATTCCACACCGCTCTGTCCCTTCTCTGAGTAAAGCGCTGATCATTTCCTTCTTTTATGAAGCCCCTCCCTCACAATAGGCGATGGGCTCTGATTGGTTAGCTAGCCCAGTGTGTTGTGATTGGCTAAACCGCCTCTAGCGCGCGTCTAAACCTCCCGCCCCTCACCTCAGCAGCATGTTTTTGTATTGTAAACAACGGCATCGTTAATATCGCTAATCAGTTCGACCCCGATTGAGAAGCAGAGGATATTATTGAAGAGGATCGTGCTTTTAATGGTAGGCCTATGTTTTTTGATTGTTGTTGTCTCATACTTTTAGATATGCTGTTATTTGAAAATGTTACTGCTTATGTTAGCTTTTAATATACAGTTTTATCCTGATTAAAGCTATAATACAGTACGGCAACTGCACGCCTGTCCATGTTTAACGCTTCTCATAGCTATGTGAAAATAAATGTATAATTGTAACAGTTCATTTTTGGAGCTGAGCTGAATGAGATAGAGAGAGAGAGAGAGATCCAGATGCAGAGCGTGTGCAGAGCAGGGGAACGCGAGGAACAGTATTAAGAACCGCTGCTTTAGAACATTGATTTTGAAACTTGTGAATCCATTAGAATCATTAGAAGACAGAATCGCGATTCTTATATAAATAGATTTTTACGTGCACCTCTAGTTTTCTCTTCTTCTTCTCTAAAGCAGCGCAGCATGGCCTTGCCCCCTTTGCTGCCTTTTCCCGAGAGCAGGGTTTATCTAGGTTTGTTATGTCACGAACCCGGGAAGTAACTTGTTGTAGTCCCTACCAGCCGTTTTTGTAGGCATTAAACTGCCAGAATTTTAAAAGACGATATCTCCGTTTGCATTGAACTTTCAGCTTCTCCTCTTCTCTAAAGCAGCGCAGCATGGCCTCGCCCCCTTTGCTGCCTTTTCCCGAGGACGAGGTTTATCTGGGTTTGTGATGTCACGAACCCAGGAAGTAACTCGTTGTAGTCCCTACCAGCCATTTTTGTAGGCATTAAACTGCCAGAATTTTAAAAGACGATATCTCCGTTTGCATTGAACTTTCAGCTTCATAACTTTGCAGATATTGCAGAAATTCGGTGGCAAAATATAAAATGTATCAAAGTTTGTTGTGTCCTTTAGTGGTGTAAATTTACAGTATATTTATATATATTTTTACATTTAGCAATGCAACATTCAGTTGCATAGTGTGCACTATACTTTATATTTATTGGCTATTTTTGCTCTGTCAGCAAAAATACTTCCAAACAAAAGCAACCATCACAGGTCTCAGAGCAACACACACTAGTGGTAATCCTAAATAATCAGATTTTTTTAATTAATTGGTTAAGTGATATATAAACTATATAACTTGCAGAAAGAGTATATACATACATACATATATGTGTGTGTGTGTGTGTGTGTGTGTATTCAGGATAATTTGGACATTTTTTTCCCAGCCGTCATAATGGCAAATAAAAAACAAAAATAAAAAAGTGTTCCAATTTACCTGAATTCAGTAAATTATGTTTTAATATATACTGTGTAAAAATTAAACTGAAACTGAAAATTAATAAATAAAAAATTAAATGACAATTTAGAAAAATTGCTTAATAAATTTCAAGAGTTTTTACGTGCTGGGATTGTGTGTAGGACTTTTTGTTTCAAAATGAATGAAAAATGCAATATAGTGTATTGAAAGTTTATTATGAAGTTTTTTTGTATTTGTATTTTATCAAATGAGGAAGATTGGAGCAAATGCCTCTCAAATCTCAAGTTAAGGATAATTCGTCAAATGATCATGCTGATTCATCCCAGTCAGGGCCAAAATCCTTCTGGTGTCTCTTTTCTGCAGAATATTCTTTGTTGCTTGAATTTGTGTATCCTGCATTGCCTTTCTCTATTGCTTATTCTTTCTTTAGTGGAAAAGATGCCCTGCATGTCAAATAAAACACTGCTAACTATATTTCCTTAAGACATGTACTATATATCTGTATTAACTTTTCAGTGCAAGTCATGAACTCAACTTGGACCACTACATTTTAACTTCGCTGCATGTGAACTGACCTGTGCATACATACTGCAGTGTGACCCCATGATACAAGCTTTTCTTCTCTCCCCAGTTACATCACCCGAGATCCTGCATCCACACCCCCTGCCATGAGGAACGGACCAGGAGGTTCGAGCAGGACGCCCGCTCAGCTGAATGTGGGGACCCCGACCTCCGGTCCTAAGGGCCCCAGTCCATTCATGACACGCAGAGGTCAGTCCTAATTGTCCTTATCCTCATATTTTTGTTTACATTTTATTGTGTGATATTAGAGGTTACCGTTTGAAAGTTTGCAGAAATTCAGCAACGATGCATTAAATGATCAAAAGTGACAGTATTGCCGTTTCAAATAAATGCCGGACTTTCTGTTTATCAAAGAATCCTGTGCAAAATATATCACGGAAGGATCATGTGTCACTGAAGACTGGAGTAATGGCTGCTGAAAATTTGGCTTTGCCATTGCAGGAACAAAATTTAATAAATTCAAATAGAAAACAGTTTTTTGAAATTGTAATAATATTTCACAATATTTCACTTTTTACTGTGTTTTCTATATAATAAATTCAGCCTTGGTGAAAATAAGAGACTTTTTTTCAAAAACGTCAATAATCCTTACTAACACCAAACTTTTGAACAGTAGTGTATATATTTGTATATATATTTTATTTAATTTTATGTATATATTAAATTGTTCATCTATTTTTATATTTATAATACTTCGCGTCGTGCCTAACAACGCCCCTTAGCTGTTCTAAATTCACTGTAAACCACGGCTCCTTGGGGCTTATTGCTTTATAATAACACTGCTACATTATAATGTTGTGATGTCTAAATTCACATGTAACATTTAAAAGGTTTTTTTGTGTTTATATTTTGTTTTTAATCAAACTTAGTTAAAAAACAGTTAATTAAAATTCAATTCAATGAAAATTATTTTAGACAAAAAGTTATTTGTTATTAGGACATTTATCAGCTAACTAATTAGAAAAGAATGATTTAAAACGTTATTATCAGTGCATCCCTAAAATGCATGTTGTCTAGTCAGTAAAATCATGTCTGGACTGTTTGGTTTCAGGTACAAAGAAACAAGCGCCGCCACCTCCCAAACAGGCCGCCCCTCCCACACCTCAGAGCGTAAAAGCGGCTCCTAACCAGCCCTTAGCCCTGAGCTCCCCTCAGTCTCTCATTGCATCCCGTCGCAACAACCAGACCCCCATCCAGGCCCCCAGCCACCCTCCTCCTCAACCTCCTTCCCAGAGCACAGATGAAGCCGAACCGTCCCCTCCCAGAACGCCCACCCCTCCCGGGACACCTCCTTACGACGGCTCCCAGTCACGCCCCAGGCCCACCCCTCGAGCGCGACCCAAACCCAGCGGCCCGCCACCACCCCAACCAACTAGCGACGGTGCCAATGGTGTCTGTGTTTCTGGATCCAAGATTATCTCAGGTAAGAATATGCATATCATGGAAAATCATGGTGACATTTTTGCACAAAAAAAAATAATAAAAATAATAACAATAATAAATATTTTGTTCTTTTATAAATAAAAGATATAATTGTTTAGAATTATAATTATTTATTAATGTTAGTTCATTGTTTAAATATAAATCTTTAAATATTAGATTTATAATCTAGATATTTAGATTTGTTTTTTACATTAAAAAATTACTTAATTTATTAATATGAAATAAAACCAAAATCTTTTACATTGTATAGCCAATATAATTACAATAAATAATAATGGAAATAATTACATACTTTTATAAATAAAAATAAAAAAGTTATTTTATTTTATTTAAAAGGTGATTCATTATTTCATCTTATTTGTAAAAATACAACAAATAAACCAAAATGTTGTACACTGTATAATTACAGTAAATAATTGTGCAAATAATTAAAATGATTTTATTTCCAAAACTAATATTTCATTTTATTTGCAGAAAATAAAAGTACAGCATATGACCAAAATGTTGTACATTGTATAGCCAATATAATGATAATGGAAATAATTAAATACTTTTATTTTATTTTTTTAATCATTATTTTATTATATTAATTCTAAAATTATTAATTGTTTCTATTTATTTCTAGAAAATACAAATACAGCATATGACCAGATGTTGCAAGCTATATGGTAGCATTTTCTTCATCTTTTTTCTTCATAAATAAAAATAATAGAAAAATACTATGGAAATTCAGAGAAAATAGCACAGATTACTTTATCCTTTTCCTGAGGGCAAATGCACACAACTAAAAAGAATTGACACGTCTGCAACGAGGCTGATGGGAACCTCAAGTGCTCAATGGATGTCATTTACACACACATTTCTACAGCTCAATCAACTCTAGAAACCTGCAAACACACTCATCTAGAGTCTGTACCTCATTAATAGCTCATTATTGGGAAGGAAGCCCAGCACTCGCCCCTGCCAAACAACTGCCCTGAGGGTTTCTCCAGGGTTTAGGCTCCATTAGGCTCATTTCACATGATGAAAGAAACCTGCAGATGCTGTTGGAGACTAAAAACTTCATTTTCAGATGATGGTGTCCATAGAGAGTTTTTACACAATCCCAGATCCAGAGATAACAAGCTTTATTTTCATAAGTAGGTTTGTCAGGATGGATGTAGCACACAGTGTGCAGTTGGTGTTTGATCGATAAATCTTTAATACAGGCCAAAACGGGTCATTTTGTTAACTGTTTTATGCATTACTTACTGTATAGTTGTATCTAGTTCGTATTTAACATTTATATTTAAATATACAATGTAAAGGTCGCAGAATAATTTGATTGTCACATCCTTCAAGATTTAGTTGCCTCGATCCTTTAAAGGAATGTTCCAGGTTAAATTAATAATAATAAAGTAAAAAATAAATAATAATAATAATAATTTTATTAATAATAAAGTGTAATAAAGGTTCATTAAATAGACGTTAAGCTCTATGGACAGCATCCATGGCATGTAGACAATACCTATGAATTATAAAATGTAAATCATTTTAAATAAATAAAAAATAAGGAAATTAAAACGAATTTATATTTTAATAATCAAAAAATTAATCAAAATAAATATGAGAAGGAATGTTCCAGCTTAAGTTAAATTAAAAGTTCAACTCTATGGGCAGAATCCATGGTATGTAGAAAATGCATCTGAATTATAAAATAGAAATAATTGTGAAAAAATAACAACAATAATTGAATTTTATCAATGAAAAATAATACAATTTAATTAACTTCTAAAATTAATTAGAAGTTAAACTCTATGGATAGCATCCATGACGTAGAAAATACTGATGAATTATAAAATGAAAATCATTTAAAATAAATAATCAAATAATTTACATTTTATTAATAAAAAAAAAATGAAATATGAAATATTGGTAAAAGCAAGCAAAAATCCTGTTTACAGAAATGCAGTTACAATGGAAGTCTCTAAAGGCAATCATAATAAATGTATAACTACATTTTTGTTCGTTTTCGCCAAATTAAGGAATAAGTTAAAATGATTTCTTGTGATACTCGACAGAATGTTGCAAATGTTGTCAATTGAGCTCAACTTGTACTGACCCTGAAACATTCCTTGAATGTCATGTAATCGATAGAAAAATGAATGTTTGAATTTGTATGTTTACACTGGCTTCAATATTTTACATAAAAATCTCCGCCTGAAACGGAACATTGCTGGAGTTGAACAGAAATGTATCCAAAGAAAAAAACATTTTAAGCAGGGAGAAAGAAAACAAGTCTTCATTTGAAAGATGAATTCTATTCTTGGAAAACCGAACATTCCGTGACAGTTAATTATCATAATTTATTATTATTCATTATGCCTTTCAGCACCTTTGTGATGTTTATTTGTCGTTGGCATCCATTATTTCAACTCAGACCTGAACACAGATCTTTAGTTTAGTGTTGAATACCAAAATTGACTTTCAGCCACACGCACACACACACACACTCTCACACACACACACTCACATCTTCATGTCTGGATTTCACGTCGTGTGTAATAATCTTAGTGGTAAGTTTGGGTCAGTGAAACCACATGCTGCAGTAGACGGATCAGTTTCCAGCGGTTGTGGAAAGATCAGCAGCTGCCAGGAGTCCTTCAGTGTTGAGGTCTGAGGTTCAGACGCTCTCCTGCTTTACTGCACACTGCATCTGCATGAGAGAGAGCTGCGATGCTGCCACGTTTAATGACATTACCACCACCATGATTAATGCTCCTAGCATTGTTTAAAGAAATCACCACTTTCAGTGTTTAAGGACTCTTTTTTGGTGGTTCATTGCCATCAGAACTTCATCCGAAAAGCCAACATGAAGTCAAAACCGACCCTGTTTACTTTCCTAACACACGTTCCTGATATTATTGTGCAGTTTGTTAATCATGTTAATCTGAAGAAAAATACACTTAATACATGTTAGAGAAGTCTCTTATGGTCAGCATTTTTTTTTTTTTTTTTGAGTAAATAATACCTCAAAATTGTGAAATATAATAACAATTTAAAATAACTGTTTTCTATGTGAATATATTTTAAAATGTAATTTCTTCCTGTGATGCAAAGCTGAATTGTCATTCCTCCAGTCTTCAGTGTCACATGATCCTTCAGAAATCATTCTGATATGCCGATTTGCTGCTCAAGAAACATTTATTATTATTATCAATGTTGAAAACAGTTGTGCTGATTATTATTTTTATAGAAGCCATGATACACTACCATTCAAAAGTTTGGGATAAAAAAATGAATACTTTTATTCAGCAAGGATGCATTAAATTGAGCAAAAGTGACAGTAAAGACATTTCTAATGATTTTGTAAAAATCCTGGAAAAAAGCATCGGTTTCCACCTAAATATTAAGCAGCAAAATGTAATAATAATAATAAGAGTCGTTATTAATAACTGAGCGCTAATAATAATGCAACACCAAATCAGCTTAGAATGATTTATGAAGGATCATGTGACACTAAATAAATCTTTGCTTTGCCATCACAGGAATAAATAACATTTTAAAATATATTCAAATGGAAAACAGTTATTATAATTTGTAATAATATTTCACAGTTTTTACTATATTTTTAATCAAATAAATTGCAGCGTTGGGTGAGCATAAGCAACTTCTTTCAAAAACATTTAAAAATCTTACCAACTCCAAACTTTTGACCAGTGGTGATTGTAATTAGCATAATCCAATGAATTGTGACATTATCGAAGTAAAATGGGTTGCAGACAGTGTTTCATGTTGACTTTTAAAAGGCTGAGATGTGATTGGATTGGCTTTGTGGAAGCTCACAGCCATCTGAATTGTGATTGGCTGCTGGTTCGTGGTCATCAGTGTTTGATCCTCGGAACATGTTGTGACGTTGTTGCACTGTTACAGATGTGTGATCTTCTGCCTGTGAGGCGTGGTTTGAGTGGCAGGCGATGGTAAGAACTCTGGGCGTATCAGTTGATGTATTCTCAGCTCCATCTGTGTGTCTGACCGCTTTCTTTGCCTGTTTAACCCGACTAACAGCAAGTTAACCTGCATGACAAGCTGCCTAACCAGTGTCTTTGTGGCATGTTTTAGGATAAAATACCAGCACATGCTTTATGCAACTAAACATGCAGCAACTCCCTTCCTATGAACCTCAGCTGCTTCTGCAGGGTGAATGTTAGCTGTGCCACAGATACTGTATTATTTAGCATTATTGATTATTTTACATTTTAACATGCTACAGTTTTTAAAGTTTGGGGTCAGGTTTTTTTTTTTTTGAAAGAATTAATACTTGTATTCAGTAAGGATGCATTAAACTGATCAAAAAGGACAGTAAAGACATTAATAATGTTACAAAATATTTTTTTAGAGTAAATAGTGTTCCTTTAAACTCTATTTCTCAAACAATCCTGGAAAAAAATAATCACAGTTTTGACAAAGATATGAAGCAGCACTACCGTTTTCAACATTGATAAGAATTGTTTTCAGCAGCAAATCAGCATATTAGAATGATTTCTGAAGGATCATGTGACACTGAAGACTGGAGTAATGATGCTGAAAATTCAGCTTTAATATCACAGGGATATATTTTATTTTAAAAGTATATTAAAATAGCAATCCGTTATGTAAAATTGTTATAATATTTCACAATATCACTGCTTTTGCTGTATTTTTGATCAAATAAATGCAGCCTTGTTGAGCATAAGAGACTTTTCAAAAACATTAAGAAAACTTACTGAACCCAAATATATATATATATTCGTTTATTTGAATGTCTGTCTGTCACAACTAAACTACATTATTTTCATAATGCTGTAATTTAAATAAAATTATATTAATATTGGTTATCATCCAAGTGCATCTTGTTAAATGATACATTCTTGGTGTCTCAACTATTGCTTGTTTTCCTTGAAGGTCAGGTTTTTTGGAAGTTTAATTTTGGTGTAAATATGATAAATTGCTTTCGTTGAAATATCCTAACTATGCTTTATGATTGCACAGATGGAGATGGAGATGGAGAGGAGAGATCTTTGACGGGACTAGGGCTGGATCTTGTCCCGGAGCTTGAGGAAGATGAAACCACAGAAACACTCCCAGAAGATGAACACCAATCAGAAAACACCGCCCTGTGAGGTGGGCGGAGTCCAGTCTTCACACAGCCAATGGAAAGCTATGTTCGTAATGGAATACTAGCATACTTACTGCATAGTTTACTATTGTTTTTAAGGATGTGAAAATATTCAATATGAAAAAAACATTTTAAACATGACCTTATGAGTAAATATAGGTATTAAGCATTCAGATTTAAGTTAAAAAAAATGTTTTAACTTTTGTGAGAATGATCAAATAAGGAGTCATCGCAGTTGCTTCTGGTTCAAACGTCGCACTGGAAATGGAAGGTCAAGTCGATGCATTGCATTGTGGGATATGGTACCCAGCACAGTGTGCGATTATAGTAGGTCATCTGGGTATTCGAAGCATACAGAAAATGTGTATGCCATCATGCAAAGTATACATACAGCACAAGTAGTGAACGTAGTATGGTAGTATGCTATTCCGAACATAGCCATTCACTTTAACCATTGACCCCTACAGAAAACAATACATTTACACAATCTCTCTGTCCTCACAATGCTGGCACATTGTAACCATATACCAGGGGGGAAAAAAACAGTACGCACATGTAAACATGCTATACAATCTTGATTTCATTCACAAATGGCATAAAGCTGGTTTGGGTTCTAATCAAATATGAATGTCTTTTGAGTTTTGTGATGTTTTGCATAACAAGTGTTATATATGTGCCTTGAAAACCCGTAAATCAAATCACTGAGTTTGTGTGACTGACGTCTTTTTGTTGGTTATCATGGTGAATGTCCTTTATTCAAATGTATTTTAATCATTCCTTTTGTCTTTTAATACTTCTTTTAAGATTGGACAAAAATTGGATTTAAAAAAAGACGATTCAAAAATAATGGTTATGCAGATACAATTGATTTACTACATGCAAAAATATGATTTGAACTTTGAAGTATTTTTCCTGGGGTGCAATACCGACTGCAATGTAGTGTTATGACATTACAGTCGTTTTTGTGTTAGTTTAGTAGTTTTTAACAATTGTAATTATGTTTTACAGGGTTTACTTTAGTGGAGTATGTACTACCGAGTACCATTATCAATTTACTCATCTACTGTTGTCCATTAAAATAAACCCTGCACATACTATTATGAAATACTTCATTCTCAAAATGACCAAAGATGCTTTTTGTTTTTTAAAGTGTATGATCCTGTGTCAGAGCTTTAGGGGGTTGTTTCATGTTGTATGTGATGCACAACATTAATGTGAGAAAGGGCTAATGGATCAGTCAAGCTCAGGAACATTCATTCCTTTCATGAATGAGTATGTGTCTTTATTTCTGTGGATATGTTATCTTGAATAGGCTTTCTTAATTGTACATATTGATTTTTTTTTTTTTCTGTTTCACCCCCTTTTGTACGCGTGTGTGCACATTTCCTCCATCTGAATTCTCGTTCTTCACGTTCTCCAGTGCCTCGGATGAACAAATGTTGTACAAATTCATTTTTTCAACACAGTAGCTGTTTTCCGATTATATATCTAATAAAATGCTTAATTGCAGGAACCAAATATATCTCGGGTGTTTTTTAAATACTGTTTAATTTACAGAAACAAGGACAAATTGGTGAAGTGTTAAACTGATTTATGATGATATATAAATAAGCATACTGGGGTTATTATTAAGTACATACTCCATGAAGATTTTCTTTCACACCAGTCACAATACATTATAAAGGGGAAGTGACTATGCCCAGTAAGCGAAGAGAAACACGGCCACTGACATACAGATGATGAGGTTGGCGTTTACCAGGTGTCTCATACAGGGATCTTCCTCGAGGGAACACGTCCCAGTCTCTGAAGGAGGAGGAGACTTGGGCGTCTCTCCTTTTTGCTTCTCTATTCCACAGATCCAGAACAGAGCAGATTTGAGTTTAGATGAACCCGCCTTGCTGGATGCAGAACTACAGGTGTCTGGTGACAAATAATGCATTTAGAATTACACGTAAACAGATTGAAACATTTCAATCAAGTTTTACCTGCATGAATATACTTCGGGGATTAAGTGCATTTTATTTTTTTATTATTATTTGCAGATTTTTGACCATTTTTATGTAATGCACTGATGTTCAGATATTAAATGTGATGTAGACTGCTAAGTCATTTTTGGTGTCATTGTATGCTTAAATCTATTTCATTTTCTCCCAATATTTTAGATATTATTCTCATATCTTTCCCCTCATTTCAACAAATTTAAAATGTCAAATGACTTTGTCTCCCTCTGCTGGATAACTGCACTATTAAAGTCAAAGAAATAGGCATAAAATTGAGAATAGATCCGAATAAACTGGACAATTGACATTACCATTTACTGTATCTGTGCCTACATATGGATTGGACAAAGTACCTTCTTTTGTAGGATATGCATCATTTGCCATGTCTTTTGGGTACACTGTGGCATCCTCAAACGTCTGGAGATCTGAAACCACAACCTCTTCGCTTTCTTTCACAGGATCAAAGCGTGTGTACCACGTCAATCGACTGATCTGGAAAATAACAAACCCTGTATATGAGCGTATTTCTCAAAATAAAGGGATAGTTCACCCAAAAATGTTAACCTTCTCACCTTCAAGCTGTGCCAAACATGTATTAGTTTCTCTTTGTCTGTTGAGAACATAAGACACTATTTTGAAGAATGTTAGTAACCAAACAGTTTACCTTAGCCATTGATTTCTATAGCGATTAAATGAATACAGTATTTTCATTTTTGGGTGAACTATCCCTTTAAGGTTTATAAGAGGCATTTCTGATTTCAACGGGTTTTTTTGTGAAATTGCGAACTGGGTTAGGGTTGGTCGTGTGTGTGTGTGTGTGTGTGTGTGTGTGTGTGCTTTCTAACCTGCTCCGGTTTGGGCTTCTCTGTAGCCAGACTAACACACACGACCACGATGAGTGTGAGGAGGGTGAGAATGATGGAGAAGTATAGGTAGTGAACATATCTGATGATGTCTGGCCTGGTGTCGCTCTCATAGCACTGTGGTGTTGGATAGACGAAATCCAGAATCATCCTTGTACAGCCCACCACCATGCCCACTATCAGACCCCAGAATGCACCCTACACCAACACAACATGAAAAATGAATGAAACAAGAGGCCATGTGTGTCCCAAATTGCGTACTTATGCACTGACCTCTGAACATCTGACCTCTATCTATTTTGTAGAATAAATGAGTAGTGTGTTCAAACTGAAAATTCCAAAAGAGTGCACTTCAAATACTCTGATGATGGGCTTGCTTAATGTGAAAAAACCCAAACGAAACAAAACTGTGAAATGTTGAACACTTAATGCACTCAAAAAAGCAAAGAAGGGGCTATCAGACTCAGATGCTAGATGATAAATAACCTTCTGAAATTCATACACTAGACAGAGTGCATGATGGAAAAAATGCTTTGGGTAAAAAATTATGAGATCAAAAAAAGTTGAAATTATGAGATGCTATGTCATAATTATGATGAGATAAGTCAAACCATGACAATCAATTATGAGATAAAAGTCACAATTACGAGATAAAAAGTTGAAATTATAACATACTGCCATTGAGAAGTCTGAGATTCTAAGTCATAATTATGAGATACATTTATGAAATTAAAAAGTTGAAATTATGGCATACTGTCATAATTATGAGATAAAAGTTGAAAGTCATCATTATGAGATAGTCATTCAAACAAAATTATGAAAGTCATAATTCTGAGATAAAAAGTTGAAACTATGACATACTAAGTCATCATTATGAGACAACGTTATTATAACAAAAAGACAAAATTATGACTCATCATTATAAGATAGAAAGTCATGACAAAAAGAAAAAATTATGAGTCATAATTATAAGATAAAAAGTTTAAACTATGATATAGTAAGTCATGATTATGCGTCACAATTTACAGTCAAAATTGTGAGATAAAAAAAAAAATCACATTTTCATGTCATAATGACTGTCAAAAGTTTGGCTTTTTATGTCATTATGATTTGCCAAAGCATGTTTTTTTTATTCTGTGGCAGAAATGGGCTTACGTAGTACATATATAAGTGCATAGTGTATAGTGGGTCATTTGCGACACAACTACTGTATGAGTGAGTCATTGATTCATTCCCTCAGCTGACTGTTCAAATGCTGATTCATTCAGGAAATCACTGCTGTCTGTTGATCAGAGAAGTGCAACAATACTGGTGTGGTTTTTGAACTATTTTCATTGGTGGAGCAAAAATAGACAAAGCAACGGGCAAAATATATTTCAAATAGAAATATCACACTATATATGGTGTTGTTGGTCTTGATATTCACTGTGATTACTACAGCAAAACCCCACCTGCGCTAACCAGTGCTTTTGCCATACTACTTAAACATTATTCACAATTTTACCCATAATATAGGTGTAATTTTATACAAATTATTAATGAATGCTTTTCAAAATAAGATCAAATTTAAAAACGGGAAAAAAGAAACTCTTGCTTGATCTTGTAAGTACATAAGTTTTGTACCTTCTCATTGGTCCGTTTCCAGAAGCATCCCGTGAAGAAGACGACCGTTATGGGGGGCTGCAGGTACATACTGATAGACTGGATGTAGATGAAGAGCTGCCCACCCTGACTGGCCTGAACCAGAGGAATCCACAGCACTGACACCACCACTAACACCAACACAAACACTCTTTGACATGGAAACACACATACACAGCAGCTGAAACAGTCCAGCTTTACAAGAGCGCAAAATGTAGCATTTGCAGTTGTAGAATGACAATACTAGATTCATTTACCATAAACAAACCAAAGAAAGAAAGATTTTATTTGTTAACAGCTTCTAACCACCCAACATCATGAGATGTTGATATTTGGTTGAATATAAGTTCTGACATCGGGTGACCAGAATTCTATGTCAGGACAATGTCTAAGGCCAATGTCAATATGACATAGAACACTGACAAATACTGATGATGTTGATATTTTGTTGGTTTTAATTTGTGCTATTAAGTAATCAAAATTCAATGTCTTTCAAGCCATCAATATTGACGCTAAACACTGACAGTTAATTGTGAACCATGAAAAAAACTATGTAATCAAAAACCAATGTCTGCTAAACATCAAAATGTTAATGTCCACATATCATTAGATGTTGATATTTGATTGGTTTTCAGTCATGGTATTAAATAACCAAAATTAAGTGTCTGTCCAATGTTAGAGGTTGATGCAAGCCAACGTTGGGTTTTTGCATTAACCCGTTTTTCATTTCCAACCAAATTAACGTCAGCCTGATGTTGGAGCCTTTCTGTGTACTTTTAAATGCAAACAGCCATTCTATGTCAGGACAATGTTTAATGCCCATATCAATTTGATGTAGAACACTGACAAATACTGCTGATGTTGATATTTTGTTGGTTTTAATTTGTGCTATTAAGTAATCAAAATTCCACGTCTTTCAAGCCATCATATTGACGTTAAACACTGACAGTTAATCGTGAACCATGAAAAAAAACTATGTAATCAAAAACCAATGTCTGCTAAACATCAAAATGTTAATGTCCACATAACATCATTAGATGTTGATATTTGATTGGTTTTCAGTCATGGTATTAAATAACCAAAATTCAGTGTCTGTCCAATGTTGGAGGTTTATGCAAGCCAACGCTGGGTTTTGGCGTCAACCCAATTTTCCTTTCCAACCAAAATTCAACATTTTCCAATGTTGGAAGTTGATGTCAAGCCAATGTTGGGTGTTGGCATCAAAATTATTTTAATTTCCAACCAAATTAACACTGACGAATACTGCTGATGTTGATATTTTGTTGGTTTTAAGTTGTGGTATAAAGTTACTAAAATTCAATGTCTGTCAAACATCATATTGATGTTAAACACTGACAGTTAATCATGAGGTAGCCTATGGTAATCAAAAACAAATGTCTGCTAAATATGACAATGTTAATATCCACATAACAGTAAATGATAACATCATTAGATGTTGATATTTGATTGGTTTTCAGTCATGGTATTAAATAACCAAAATTCAGTGTCTGTCCAATGTTAGAGGTTGATGCAAGCCAACGTTGGGTTTTTGCATTAACCCGTTTTTCATTTCCAACCAAATTAACGTCAGCCTGATGTTGGAGCCTTTCTGTGTACTTTTAAATGCAAACAGCCATTCTATGTCAGGACAATGTTTAATGCCAGTTTGATGTAGAACACTGACAAATACTGCTGATGTTATTTTGTTGGTTTTAAAACACGCTATTAAGTAACCAAAATTCAACGTCTTTCCAATGTTGGAAGTTGATGTCAAGCCAATGTTGGGTGTTGGCATCAAAACGATTTTCATTTCCAACCAAATTAATACCGACGAATAATGCTGATGCTGATATTTGGTTGGTTTTAAGTCCTGCTACTAAATAACCAAAATTCAATGTCTTTCAAACATCATATTGACATTAAACAGTTAATCATGAGGTAGCCTATGGTAATCAAAAACCAACATGTTAAAACATCATAATGTTAATGTCCACACAACGTTAGAT